TTCCCGCAGCGATGCCCCGGGAAAATCCGGGGGTCCCGGCACCCACCGCCTTCCTCCCTGCTTGTGTCTCCGCAGCCACCGCGACGCAGGCCCAGGCTGAGTAAGCAAGGCGCCCGCGGGATCTTTCCTCCATTTCGGGGTCTCTGGCACATCCTTGGGCAGCTCCGGATCCATCCCATGATGCTCTGGACCCTTTCCCAAAGGGAGCACCAGCAAAGGGAGCAGTCGCTCCATGGGATAAGGGAGGGCCGGCACCCCAGCGTTGATCCCAGGCTGGGGACCCAGCCAGGGACCCCGAGCCCCAAGGATACAGACCCTGAAGTCCACGATAGGGACCCCAACCACAGCATAGGGTCCCGGGACCAGGATGGAGTAGGGACCCTGAACCCCAGAATGGGACTTTGACCCCCATGTAGGGACGCTGACTCCCACGGAGGCACCCTGAACCCCAAGGCATGGACTCCAACCCCAGGGTAGGGACCCCAGCCCCAGGATAGGGGCCCTGGGCCCCAGGATGGGGACCCTGAACCCCAGCATCCACCTGCAGCTAAGGAGGCCAGAAAACCTTCTGGACACAAGGGAAAAAAATCCAGCTCATCCCTTCTTCCCTCAGGCAATTCCCAGTGATGAGCAACGGCGAGGCCGGATCCGGCACATCCGGCTGCGAGAGCGAGAGCTGCCACCCAGGTAGGGGTGCCCTGGGGTCGGTACATCCCTGCCAGGCTTGGGGTGGGATTCGGGAGCTTTCCGTGCAAACCCCTCGCTGCCAGCACCATTCCGGGTTCAGAGCAGGGCGCTTTCCACTTTTTCCACTCGTTTCCTCCTCCTGATTCCACAGGCGAGCGCTTCGAGTTCCCAGCCGTGGAGGAGGATGTGATCTATGACGACGTCCCCTGTGAAAACCTCGAGGCTGAGCAGGACGGTAGGGACCAACGTCACTTTATGGGTGGGGAAACTGAGGCACGTAGTGGGGTGATCAAAGGCATCTGGGGTCCCCTTTTTTTCCCCCAATTCCCGGGGCTTTATAAATCATCTAAGGGCTCTCCAGCCCCACTTCAGCTTCCCGCCTCCCCCTTAAATCCCTGCTCTGAGCCAGGCTCCGGGCTGTCTGGCATCATCCACCAGTGGGGATCAAATAATCCACAGTCAGCGACCAGGCGGCTGCATCCCGGCAGTGGCTCCTGCTCCAGGTGGGCCGAGGATTGGGAATGCCGGAGCTTCTGCACAGCTGCGGCTCCCAAAGACACCGATGCAGCCATTTCCTCCCAACTGGGTTAAATACAGCTCCTGGGATACAGAACAGCTTTTTTTCCAGTGGTTTTTTTTGATGGGTGAGCTGGGTTATAGCCCCAACTGGGTGTATTAATGCAGCCCAAATAGCTTTTCTTCTATCCCTTCCTCAGGAAGGGGGTGCATCTGCATGGAGCAGGATAATCCCAGGTGCAGCTTACAGGGCAGCTTCCAATAAAGGCAAAGGGTAGGGAAGGAAAATCCCCCCAAAAACTGAGTTTTCTGGAAGACAATCCACCCAATAAAGCAAATTCCAAGGGCAAAATCCTCCCATTTGGCATCCCTGGAGCCGATGCTGAGACATTTGGGATGCTCCGGCAGGGCCAGAGCGCAGCCTGATTTATGAGGACGTGCAGCGCGGAGACGAGGGGCCGCGGGAAGCGGAGGAGCTGGGCTGGAGCTCCAGCGAGTTCGAGAGCTACAGCGAGGACTCGGGCGAAGAGGCCAAGCCGGAGGCCGAGCCGGTCAAGCACCGGGCCTCCTTCCAGCCCAAGGTAACAGCGACCTTCCTGCACTGGGAAAAACAAGTGCTTCCCAAGCGCTTTCCAGCCCGTTTCCATCCCGCGTCGTGGATACTGGCAGCTCCCGCCTTCCCGTGTTGCTTTTTCCCCTCCCAACATGTTTAAACCGGAGACCGTGCGCGAGCGAGTGTGCTGCGCCGGGATGCTGCTTTCCAAGCTTGTTTCCCCCATATCCCGCTGCCGCCTTCGGATGGGTTTCTCTTCCTGGTGCTTTTGGGCTGCTTAACCTGCTGCCTCTCTCTTCTCTGCCCTCTCTTCCGTGCTGCCGCTTCTCCTTTGCTTTGGGGGCCCAGCTTTCTCCAGACCTCCATAGGCTAAAGGAGAGATACGCCAGGACTAAGCGGGACATCCTGGCGTTAAGAGTTGGGGGGAGAGACATGCAGGAGCTGAAGCACAAGTACGACTGGAAGGTACCTTCGGAGCCCTCCTCGCGCCGCCTTTCCCCATCCCCAATCCTGGGCCGGGCGAGGGGGAAGCGTTCCCGGCGGGATCGCGGCGGCCGTTTTGAGGAGGAAAAGGCTGTCGGAGCACGTGTGGCCGCTCGCTGCAGCGAGCGAGCTGCTCTGGTTTTGGGATGATTTTTTCCATTGCATTGTGTTTTATTTTGGGGGGACCGAGCTCACCCAGCGCGCGCTTCTCGCTCCTTCCTCGCCTCCCCGCTCGCTCCTTGCTGCGCGCCGGCCACTTCCTCGCCCGCTCCGCGTCCTCGTGCTGCTTGGGAGCGCCGGAGCCGTCACGGGTCTCCGGCTCCCGCCGGCTGACCAGAGCCAGGAATTGCAAACGCCCCAAAAAATAGGACCCTGGCGCACGCTATCGGGGTCCGAAACGCCCTCGGCCGCCTCCAGCCGCTCTCCCGACTCTCACAGATGACTCAGCTGATGAAGGCTGCTAAGAGCGGCACCAAGGACGGGCTGGAGAAGACCAAGATCGCCGTCATGAGGAAGGTCACCTTCCTGCAGCGCAAAGAGGTGCCGGGTGAGTCGTGGGAGAGCGCCCGGGCAAACACCCCTTCTGCCTCTCCGGGCAAAAGCAAGGCCGTGGTTTTTTTTTTCCCAAAATAATTTGTGCATCTGTAGAGATCCATATTCCGTTTAACTTTCATGCTTGCTTTTTTTTTTTTTTGCATTTTAAGGTTTTTTTTTTTCTTTTAAGCGTTTTCTTGCTCTCCCGAGCAAGCGCAATCCTCCTCGCTTCCCTCCTCCGCCTTGTCCCCCGGCCGAGCTGACGTTGTCGCCCCTCCCCTGCCGAGCCGGCCCCGGCTGATCCTCCCTTTTCCAAAATTAGGGGAAGGAGAAAGGTCAGGGGGCCGCAGCGCTGCGGGCAGCTGCCGGGGCCGCCTCCGCGCCCTCCCCTGCGCTCCGCCGGGATGGGATCGGGGCCGGGGGGAAAGGGGAAGCGGCTGTAGCGGGCGATGCGGCATGTGGAGGAGACGGGCGGACGCCGACGGCGCCCTGGCCCGCTCGCCCTCCTCCTCCTCCGCTGCTTCGGCCTCGGGTAAGGGCAGCCGTGCTCTCCCTCTCTCCCCGGTTGAATATTTTTTTAAAATATATCCGTGCTTTTTTATTTTTTCCCTGCTTGTGGCTTTGCTCCTTCTTTCCCGCTGGCACCAGGGGATTTTTGGGGGAGCTGGAGGGCAGCGGGGGCCCTGCTGCCCTCATGCCCCCCTCCTACCCCCCTGCCGGTGCCAGCGCTCGCTTCCCAGGGCTGACTCATGCAGCCGGTGTCCGGTGTCAGCCGGGAAAGCGGCCGGAGCCGAGCGGCGGCAGCGCTTCCCTGGGGTCCCCGGCGCCCGCGCGGCGGTTTTGCTGCGAAAAAGGCTCTCTCCGACATGAAGCCCCCGCCGCCGGAGCTGAGCCCCATGCCCGCGGGGCTGAGCCCGCAGCAGGTCCGTGCGGCTCCGCGCTTCCCCTTTTTGGGAATTGCACAACCTCCGCTCCCTCCGGGCTTCCCGTGCCCGGCTCCGGGTGCGCGGGCTCCGTCAGCGCCCCGTGCCCTTGCAGGTAGTTCGGCGGCACATCCTGGGCTCCATCGTGCAGAGCGAGAGGAGCTACGTGGACTCCTTGAAGCGCATCCTGCAGGTATCGCCTGTGTGTCCCCCCTCCACCCCCTTATTTTTTGGGGGGATATGAAGACATTTTTTGGGGTGCTGGAGGATGGAATTGGCTAACGCTGATGGCATCACCCGTCCTGCAGGATTACAGGAACCCCTTGCTGGAGATGGAGCCCAAGGTGCTGAGCGCCAGGAAGTGCCAGCTGGTGTTCTTCCGTCTCAAGGAGATCCTGCAGTGCCACTCCATGTTCCAGATCGCCCTGGCCTCTCGTGTGGCTGAGTGGGACGCCACCGAGAAGATCGGGGACCTCTTCGTGGCCTCGGTAGGAGGACACAGTGGTTGGGTGCTTTTGGGATCTTCCATCCTCCCAAGCTCCCGTGGCCACCTCCAAAAACGCATGAGCTTTGTGCACATCTCCTCTCTCCACCCTGGTGCTGGGGGTGGACCAGTAGCTGGACCACATCTCGGCCTGTTGGGAGCTGCTGCATGTGGTTGTGTTGCAAGAGCAGCCCATGGGCAGCAGCCTGGAAACCCAGAGGAGAAGCCTCCAAAACCAGCCCCCACCTCTGCTGGCTCCCCGAGGAGGCTCTAACCGCCCCCATTTTGATGCCCCCAGTTCTCCAAGTCAATGGTGCTGGACGTGTACAGCGATTACGTCAACAACTTCACTGCGGCCATGTCCCTCATCAAGAAGGCCTGTCTCACCAAACCTGCCTTCCTTGAGTTCCTCAAGGTGGGTGCTCCTGCTTCTCACCTCTGTTTGGGGTTGGCATGGCTATTCTGGGCTCTATGTGCCTTCTGGGTGGTGTTGGGAGGGTTGGCAGGACCCAGTGCAGGGATGAAGGTGGTGTGGAGGCCATCTCGTCCATCATCATCACCAGGTCCCTGGGTGGATCAGGAAGCCCGCAGGGTGCCGCTGGGGGCTAGAGCTCCCTGGGGTTGGACAACCATGGGTGCCTCCTCTCCTGGCAGAAACGGCAGATGGCCAGTGCTGACCGGGTCACGCTCTACGGGCTGATGGTGAAGCCCATCCAGCGGTTCCCGCAGTTCATCCTGCTGCTGCAGGTACGGCCAAGTTGAGTACAAGAGAAGATCCCTCCCGTTTGGGGTCGGTAGCCTTCAGCCTTGTCCCTGCTTCTTCATCCCTGCCTTTTCCTGTCCAGGACATGCTGAAAAACACCCCCAAGGGCCACGCAGATCGACTGTCTCTACAGCTGGCCCTCACTGAGCTGGAGACGCTGGCTGAGAAGCTCAATGAGCAGAAGCGCTTGGCCGACCAGGTGGCCGAAATCCAGCAGCTGGGCAAGAGCCTCAGCGATCGCAGCGGCCTCAACAAGGTGGGCAAAACCTGGCCCGGGAGAAACCCTCCTTCTGCTCCAGAGGGAAAGCTGGAGCCCAATGGCCATGGGATGGTTTCAGGAGGGTTTCAGCCTCCAGGATCAGGGACTGACGTTGTCTTTTTGCCACCATCTCTCTTCTGTCTGCAGCTGCTGAGTTCGGGCCAGCGACAGCTCCTGCTCTGTGAGACCTTGACAGAGACAGTCTATGGCGACCGGGGGCAGCTGCTCAAGTCCAAGGAACGCAAGGTCTTCCTGCTCAACGACATGCTGGTCTGCGCCAACATCAACTTCAAGTAGGTCGGAGTGCCCCGAGAGCCCCAATTGACACACACCAGCCTTGAGGTGAAGCACTCGTTGACTGGGGCCTCTTCCTCCTTGATGGGTCCCCCAAGGGTTTCACAGGTGGCTTCAGACACCTCCTGATGTCCCAGCGGATATCCAAGGGCTGCCATTGCAAAGCAGCTGCCCCAACAGTCATCCAACCGGCTGTTTTGGGGCCATTCCCCCAATTTTAACTTGCCTTGGCCAACCTGCCTCATGCTTTGGGTCCAGGAGGAGCCAGCACGATGGGGTTGGGTGGAGGAGGACGCTAGACACAGTGCTGGGACCTCCCCTCTTCTCCCATTCTGCAAAACAGCTCTTTGCAAAGCAGTGCAAATCCTCATGAAACCTCTTTTCCCTCCTTCCCCTTCTAGGCCCGTGAACTCAAGGTAGGACTCAAGTGTGACACACTCCAATTTATTGAGTTTTTTTGACCGCCCAGAAGCTTGCAACCCAACAGTGCAATCACAACTAACCCGGAGGGGCTGCTAACTTGGCTGGGGGTGCTGCATGGGGCATTGCCTGGGTTATTTTGCTGTTTTTTTAAAAATTATTTCATTTTTTTTATTTAGTTTTTATTTTTCCCCTGTGTCTCCTCCCTTGGCAGGGGGCAGCTGGAGATCAGCAGCCTGGTGCCGCTGGGCCCCAAGTACGTGGTGAAGTGGAGCACGGCGCTGCCGCAGGTGCAGGTGGTGGAGGTGGGCCAGGAGAGCAGCAGCGGCCACGACAAGGACCACGCAGGTGGCCACAGTGGCCACAATGCCAGGAAGCACTCAGCCACCAGCCAGACCTCCCACAGTGAGTGGCCACAGGCAGTTCCCCCTCCGTGGGCTCCTCTTCCTCGCGTTGTGCCCTTCATCCCTCCTGGTACAAGGAGCTTCCTGCCTTTTCCCACCACTTGCTTTCCTCCCAAGACAAGGTGTACCTGGGGCCACCACGGCTCTTCCAGGAGCTGCAGGACTTGCAGAAGGACCTGGCGGTGGTGGAGCAGATCACCTTGCTCATCAGCACACTCCACGGCACCTACCAGGTAGGTGCCAGCACAGCTGATTTCCCCCTTTTTTTTTTTTTTTCTTATTTTTTTAATTGCAACCTGCAAATGGGGAATGTGGAAGCCCTGGCTCCTCCACCCCAAGGTGGCCACCATGGTGAGTTGGTGATGGTTGGTTCCAGCAGCTCCCACAAGCCGCGGGAGTCTTCCAGGTGCCAGCACCTCTGGGTTGATTTTTGGGGTGTTGGGGGCTATTCCTCCTTTCCCAGAACCTGAACATGACGGTGGCGCAGGACTGGTGCTTGGCCCTGCAGAGGATGATGAGGGTGAAGGAGGAGGAGATCCACTCGGCCAACAAGTGCCGCCTCCGCCTCCTGCTCCCCGGCAAGCCGGACAAGTGAGTGCGGGGCCAGTTCTGCCCAGTTCAGCTCCAAGCTCCCTGTCTCCATTGGGTGCCCCAGGCTGAGCCGGGTGCCTTCGCCCTGCCCCAGGTCCGGCCGGCCCATCAGCTTCATGGTGGTCTTCATCACGCCCAACCCGCTGAGCAAGATCTCCTGGGTCAACCGGCTGCACTTGGCCAAGATCGGGCTGCGTGAGTAGCGCCGTGGAGCGACCCGCTCTGTTCGTGGAGCTGCTCCGCTCTGTCCCTCTCCCTGGGTGCGCCTGCCTTGCCCAGCCTTCCCTTGGTGCTCCCTCCTCATCCTCACTTATATACATATATATACACACACATGCAAAAAAAAAAAGGAAAAGAGGAAAATTGCTTGAAATCGTATCAGAATGGGGTTCTCCTCCCCAGGCTGTAGTGGTTTTGGGGGGGAATTTTTGCTGTTAGAAGCCTGATGAGTGACTTTTTTTTTTTTTTTAAATGTGCGTTGTCCAGAGCATAACTCTTTGCACATGAGTTTGGACGCACTGCTGTGTTAAAACCTGATGCAAAGAAACATGTTACAGCTCTTTTTCCTTCATATTTAAACATATATATATATAAATATATCTCGTGTGTGTGTGTATATATAGATATATATGCAATTGCCTTTATATATTTATATATGCTCACAGGAATCCCCATCCCTGCACTCTGTTCCCATCCCAAAATGCTGATACCTGCCAGCACCCAGGTGTTTTTCCCATCCCACCAGGTTTTTTCCCCTTGTAAAGCTCCTCAAGCTGCCGACTCTTCCCGCAGGGGAGGAGAACCAGCCGGGCTGGCTCTGTCCTGACGAGGACAAGAAGAGCAAAGCGCCTTTCTGGTGTCCCATCCTGTCCTGCCACGTGCCTGCCTTCTCCTGCAAGGCCCTCGACCTGCAGGTGACACAAATCCCAGCATCTCCTGGCATGGAGGGGACAAGCGGGTGTTTTGGGGGGCGGGAAAGAGATGATAGAGCAAGTGTTTTGGGGGTGGGAAGGAGGTGACAGAGCGGGTGTTTTGGGGGTGGAAAGGAGGTGACAGAGCGGGTGTTTTGAGGGTGGAAAGGAGGCCACAAAACAGGCGTTTTGGGGATGAAACCCATGAGAAAAGGGCCATTTCGCGGTGTCTGTCTGACGTTGCCACGCTCCCCCAGCTCGCCGCCGCCGTGCACGCACCGGTGCAGTCCTCGCTGCTGGGCTTCTCCGCCGTGAGCACCTCGCTGCCCCACGGCTACCTCTGGGTGAGCGGAGCCGAAACCAGCCCGGCGGGACGGGAAAAAATACAAAAAAAACCCAAAAAACTCATTTTTTCCCCCATTTTTCCGCCGGTAGGTCGGCGGGGGCCAGGACGGCGCCGGTGGCCACGTGGAGATCTTTTCCCTTGGGAATGGGGAGGGGAGGGCATGGGGCTTCTCCGGCCGCTTTGCCCAGGGGGTGCTGCAAATTCCCAGCAGTGATTTAGGGCAGCATGGAGGGATCTGGGGGGCCACGGTGATTTTTAATGGTCCTTCTCGCCCTAACTAAGCCGCCCGGCAAAGCCACATCCTCCTGTGGCTCGCAGCCCCGGAGCGCAGCCCGTGCTCTGCCTCAAGCACAGCCACGACTACCTCTTCGCCGGCCTGCAGGACGGCACCGTGGCCGCCTACGCCAGGAATAACGGTGGGGCCGGAATCGTCCCGCTGCGAAATCCCGGATCCGCTCGCGCGCCGCGGTTGGGCTTTGGTGCTGTTGCCAAGCGCTGGGAATGTCCCGTGGGGGTGAATTTAGCCCAAAAACAGAGCATGCATAAAATAGCTTGGCTAAGCGTCAGCATCCTCATCTCAGTGGGGATTTTCCTGGTTTCCAGAGCATGCAAAAAACATGGATTTGGGGAAATGCTCAGCTTTTTTTCCTCTTTTGGGGAAGAATTGCAATAGGAAGATGCTGTTTTTTTGGAGGGGGGATAACGGGGGTGCAATGAGAGGGATCCTGGTGTTTTTCCTCCGTGCTCAGCCCTCCGTCGGGCTCTTCCCGCAGGAGGGCCGGAGCGGCTGGCGGAGCAGCCGGCCTGCCTGGCCGTGGGCACCGGCCCCGTGCGGGCGCTGCTGGCCCTGGACGAGAGCCTCTGGGCCAGCTGCGGCAACCGCGTCACCGTCCTCGACGCCGGCAGCCTCCAGCCTCAGGTAGCCCCCGCTATTTGTATCGTTTTCATATCTTTTCCCCTTCAGCTAGACCCACTATTTGTATCGTTTTCATATCTTTTCCCCTTCAGCTAGACCCACTATTTGTATTGTTTTCATATCTTTTCCCCTGTGTGTTTAGGTTTCCCTATCGGTTTCATGATCCCCAGATTCTGAGTCATGACAAAATGGACTGCCATTAAAAATATATACATATATGTATATATGATGCTGCCAAAGGCAGGAAAAAGTCTCTTTTTCCAGAATTATTAACTTTTTAATATAATTTTGCAAGCCCCTCAGTCTCTGCCAGCAAAAGAGGAGCAATTAGAAAAGCTTTAACTGTGCTGGAGGAGCCAGTTGGGCTCAGCCAGAGGTGGGCGTTTATTCCCTGCCGGTGCACTCAGAGCTCTCTCTCTATATTTATTTACATATATATATATGTTATTTTACATAAAAATATGTACGATAAAACATACATATGTACTTTTTTCTCAAAAAAAAAATCCCATGGAAGGGATCGAATGGCTGCATTACCCTTCTGGGAAGGGGAAAAAAAGAATATTTTTGTTGTTGTTCCTTTTCCATCCTTGCTCTTACTTGAGGCCGTGTCCTCTCCGAATCCCAGGAGCTTCCCAAGGTCACCTTGTTCCCCCCCTTCTCCTGCCGCCCGGCGCCTGCTTTGGCAGCCGGGAAATCGGCCGCTAGAGAGAGCCCGTGCGAGCGGCCCTTCCTTGAGGAGCCAGGAACAGCCTCCGGCAGCACCGGGTGACGCTCCGCTCTGGATACCATCCCGCTCCACAGCACCGTGGTTCTGCTGTGGCTGTGCTGGACAAAGGGGTGAACCGAGGCACGGGGGAGATCCTTGGGGATCAGCCGGCTCCGGAGCAGCCTCGCTGATTCCTTCTGAAGCTCCAGTGAAGCTCCAGCCTCCGCTGGGGCTCTGGGCCTCTCCTCTGCGGATAAAATGTTTCCCTGTGGCCGGGACTCCCAGGCAGCCTCCAGTTCATGCGCGGGTGGAAATTACCCCAAAACCCACCAGTGCTGCCCCTGCTCTGCCCACCCCCCAGCAGGCGCGGGTGGCACGGGCTGCGCCCGGCCGTTTCCCTCTGCTTTATGTCCTTCACATCCTGCCACCTGTAGGGACTAATTTTAGGAGGAAAGGAGCGGGGGAAGCTTTTTTTTGGAGGGTGGGGGCGTGCATTAGGGACTCGCCTCCTCCCGTGAGCGCAATGAGCCTGCAGGGCAGCGGCGCGGAGGAAAATTGTCCAGGATTAGCAGCGAAATCTCGGGAAAAGGACCAGAGGGCAGGGAGGTGGTGGGGAGATGGGGATGGGGGTGATGCTCTGGACGGGGGTGTCCCCCGTGGGCCCCCCCCAGGGGAGGCTGCTATTTCAGGGCCGGCGGAGCCGATCTGGAGTACGGAGCAAACCCAGGGTCCTGAACGCCGCTTCTCCGTCCTTTCCTTTCTATTCCCTATTTTGAATGAAGGCGGCACAGTGCCCTTTTCCAGGTGAAATCACTGTGCTCCGGAGCATTCCCGCGCCCTTCCCCCCCCGGCAACAACTCTGCCCCCCCCCCCCTTTCCTTTCTCCCTGCTCACTGCCAAGAAATCTGCCTTCCCGGCCGGCCCGCAGCAAGAATATCCCAATTTGGGGCTGGCGGGAGGAATCAGAACAACTCACTAACTGAATAAATAAATAAATAAACATATAGAGGGAATAAATAGGTATATATTTATGCATAGGGATTGGGACACTCG